CCATTCAGCGATAATAGCGGCCGCAGATGGTGGGAGTTCAGCGTGATCTGACTCGTCTGTTCCAGCTCTTACAAGGCTGTAATGGTCGCCCAGGTTGTTCATCAGAACATCTAGGGCGCTGTCTTGTCTCTTCTTGGAGAAATCTTGGAGGCAAGGATGACGAGCTTTCGATATCTCATAAAATGCCAAGCGCGCGGTAAGAGCACGCACCAGGCGGTTAACTAATCGCAAAGCCAGCTCGTGCTCAAGCTTGTCAGTGAGCTCGACAATGGACCGCGCCTTTGCTGGAGAGAGTTTCTCCATGTCTGCACTCGAAGCCACAGTCCCTAGGGCGCGCATTTGAAGCAGCGAACGCCATGTGTGCGCATCAACTTGCGGAAGACTGCTGGTGAGGGCAAAGAAGGCAACGGTTGCAATATCTGCCGCGTTAGCATCGGCCAGATGTTCTTGGCCTTCGAAATCAGATGTGCGCCGACCGATTATTGGAACAGATGACGGCCCGGTTGAAGTAGAATTGGTTGACGAACGGCGTGATAGACGGCCAGGCATTGAGAGCTCTTTTGGTGGCATAAACAGTGTCTCCACGGCGCGCCACAGGCTATGGAGAGCAATATCCCAGGGACAGAAAGTGAAGAGCTTGCTCAGTGATGGTTGTAGCTGCTGCAAGGCAAGCTTTGAATCCGAGGAATCCTGCTCCGGGCCAGCCGTCTCTTCTCGAAATGAACGAAGAATCTGCTTGGTTGAACCCAATGCGTAGAATATACTCTGAGCAAGGAATATATACACTCGACGCTGGCGGGTTGTTGCAAACTGCCATTCCGGATTTTCAAAGTTCCCTGTAGATTCCATGTAACGCAGCTCGTCCCTCCATCTCTGCGCTTCTTCATCGGATTGGACCATCATTCGCGCCAGCCCGTCGATGATTGCGCCATTTAGATGACTTAGCGTTTGAACAGCCAGCGGTCGTTCCAACTTTTGATAAGGACTTTTGCATTTTGACTGGTCATCGTTCGAAGATTGTGTTTCCGATGCCAAGTGGTCGTCTCTAGCTGCCAGCGGCTTCTCGGCATCCTGATTTTGAATGTCATTTAAGAATTTCGCACTATCCCACGACACACGCCTCTCCTTCTTCTTCCGCTGTGCCTGTGTGAAAGACCCATCAAGATGTTCATTTCTGCCGCGATGTTTTTGGGGGCGATGCTTCAATGCCGGGGGCGATGGTATGTTGACCGATCCGTCAGTCTCAAGATGCGAGTTGTAAGAGAGCTTTCGGCTCGGCCTTAATTCTGGCCGCACCTTGGCCTCTTTGGCTGTGCGCGGACTTTGCTGATGCTGGTCTGTTTCAATCAAGGATATTCGTCTCACTTGGTGCTCGGGTTTCGATTCAACTCGGGGGACTCGTCTACCCGCATCCCGAGACGATGGAGTATGCGGAGCAACTCCCGGCGACTTATTTTGCAAGTTTGCACGCCGCCTCGCGCCGGTAGATCCGGTTGTAGTATTTGAATGTTCGCAACCCTCGCGTTTGGGTGACCGAGCGTGTTGCTTACCCAAACGATCTGCATCTGAATCCAGCACGTCTGGTGGCCGCCGTAGAGGGAGCCATTCGACCATTCGTAGCGACAGAGTATCAAATAGGTTCTGCGTAAAGGATTTCGGGTCTTTCATCCGTTGCGCCGCGGATTCGTCGTCAACTGGCGCGGGCTCATTCTGTTGTCGCGATTCCATATACGATCCGGACCCTATTCTGGTGTTCTCAGAGGGCTTCGCAGACGCTGCATCTTGATTGAGCAAGGCTCGATTTGCCGGTAGATCGCCGGCTGTCCTGCGGCTCGATGCCGATGACGGACTTCGTGCCTCCGTACGGTCGGACAATGCTCCGCGGCTTGACCGTCTCGATGGACGCGGATGATCGTGAGACGACAGCTCCGACGGGACGCGCTGGGTGTTACGGCAGAGACCACTCTCCGGATTGTCCAAGCTAGCCAAGTAGCAAGCCAGGGTCCGGGCACTTAGCTCAGTGTAACGGCGATACGGCCCTTCAGATACCCTTCGCCTGTAACTCGCGCAGGTCGGAGTGCGGCAGGCGGGATCTTGACATCCATGGAGAAGCTGATTTTTGTACCTTTGAATCAAAAACTCAATTAGCCGTGACCCTCGCCTCACCTCACCGGGGTTACGTCTCGTGTGACACACTCACTTTCGGACTAGAAGGTTGAACTGGCGCCGTCGCTCCTCTCTATACCATAATAGAACTTGCGCCGGGTCGGACACGTCGACGGTGTTCTGAACAATGATATCTGGAGCGTTTGAAGGAAGCTTTGACCGATGGAACTGAGACCGGTCGACGCCAGCATCGTACGAGCTCACTGAAGCTCCGCGGAGCCTAGTCATCTTCGAGAACCGAGGAGCATACCTGAGCGGTGGCAGTCAGGATAAACCCGTTCCTATCGTACTTATAAGAGAAGGAAGAATATGGTTAAAAGCAAGATGGTGGCAGTTCGAATCGTGAACAGCGTATGCTGATGACCAGCTGTTCCTCCCCCAAGCTGATATCATCGCCAGAGAGGCGTCCTAACCTCAGGCGCCTAACCCCATGAGTGGAGATGACTAAGGGGTCTGGAACATCAATGATCCAGAGCTATCAAGCCTAAACCAGAATGGGGCAGCCTTGTGTCTAATTAACCTAATCGGTTTAGCAAGGTCTATCACGTGCCTTTAACGTCATCGCCACTGCCAAATATTACAGCCTTAAAGCGGCAAGGCGAGGATTTTGTGCGGTTCGGATGGAACTTTATCGGAGGTGATTATTGATTATCAATAATTTCTTCGACCAGCATACACCAAGTGAGATCAGGAACGCTTACTGATTGCCTGGCACCCTCTGGTTGCCTCTCTTTTCCTATCTCTTGTCTTCCCTATATCTTCTTCAGGACCTGACTCACCCTTCACTTCGTTGTGCTCGAGTTTTCGCATCGACTTGTACCCCGCTCGAATTTCTTCCCACGACGAGTAGTGGCAATCAACCACCGCACACTACGTTGTTTGATACCCTTATTCTTTGGTCGATTACTTGAGTAGCTTCAAGATGTCTTCTCTTCCTTATACTTGCAACACCTGCTTGGTTGCGTTTCGGAGCAGCGATGCTCAAAGGGATCACATGCGTACGGATTGGCAGTAGGTTTTCCCAGAAGCCTCTGGCACATCCGTCAAGTCACTAATATCAATAGTTTATATAACATGAAGCGTCGTGTTGCCTCTCTGCCTCCAGTATCCCAGGAAATCTTTAATGAAAAAGTTCTTGCCGCCAAAGCCACGTCGAGCGCCGCTGCCGCCAAGGCGTCATTCGAGAAGTCCTGCGTCGCTTGCCAGAAGACATTCTACAGTGAGAACTCGTACCAGAACCATGTGAAGAGCTCCAAGCACAAGGCCCGCGAGGCGCGGATGCAAAAAGACCTTGCAGATGATTCGTCATCCGTGATGAGCTCCACCTTCTCTCTAGGCGAACCAATCAACAAGTCTCAGGAAGGCGAGTCGGATGTCACCAAGGTTACCGAGAATCTCAAGACATCAACGATCGAGGAAGAGGAGGAGGAGGAGGATGAGGAGGAGCTCGAGGACGAGTCTGAATACTCGCCTTCCCGCTGTCTGTTTTGTAGCCACAAGGCCTCGGACCTTCAAGAAAATACAGAGCACATGCGTAAGAGCCACGGCATGTTCATCCCAGAAAGAGACTACCTCGTCAACCTTGAGGGTCTCATCCACTACCTCTACCGGAAAATCAACGAGAACAGCGAGTGCCTCTACTGCCATGCCATCAGAAACAGCCCCGCCGGCATTCGTACTCACATGCGGGACAAGGGCCATTGCATGATCGGTTTCGAGACCGAGGAGGAACAGATCGAGATTGGGCAATACTACGACTTCCGAAGCACATACTCCGATGACGAGGCCGGGTCAGTAACCAGCGAGATACCAGAGGACGGCGGAGTCAAGGTGGCCGGCTCGGACGGCGACGACGACGGATGGGAGACGGAAACCTCCGCCTCCTCTTTGGACGAGGACGAAGAAGATGACGACTTCGATTCGCATAGAAAGGCACCCGTCGTGTACCAGACCGAATACGAACTGCATCTCCCCTCCGGCAAGAGTGTTGGCCACCGCTCTCTCGCCAAATACTACCGCCAGAACCTGCACAACTACCCATCGATGGAGGAGCGGATCGCGCGCCAACTCGCCATCGAGAACGGCGAAGTCGAGGAAGAGCAGCCCCGGGGCCGCAACCCCACCCGCGCTCTTGTCACCCGTGCCAATGGCGGCCTGGGCATGATCGGCGCCACAGACGACCAGAAACGGGTCGCGGCCATGTCGGAACGCAAGGACCGGACGCGTGCCATTCGGCAAGAACTCAGGCACAGAGATCGGGTCAGTCGGGCTGCGAACAACCAGAAACACTTCCGGGTATGTACAACTTTTCCAGACCAGCTCGACAGAAAGCTAACGTTGACTGCTAGGACCCTCTCCTGCAATGATCAAAGCGCTGGTCTTTCTTTTATCATGGTTCAATGGCCGTTTGGTTTTGTCGAGTCGATTACGTGGAGTTATTCAGGTGCATGCATATACATGGATGAGATGAGATGAGATGATCAAAATATCAAAAGTCGAATGCATATGACGAATTCCTGGATTACGTAGTGCATACGGCGGTCGACCGTCTCTACAATCGTTTCTTTATGATGGGGAAAATAGACAGTCGATTAGACTGGCTGGGTTACAGGCTAAGATGCATGGGATACCTAAGTTTCCCCAATGAGGGATTCAAACGAACACCGTTATCGTTCGCTCTTTCCGTAGTCACGTACAGTATGCTCATACACAGGCGCTTCCATCAAGGACTCGCTTGCACGATCGTCGCTCTGGCCGGCAGAGTGATGGAGAGGTAGAGAGGTGGAGAAAGGGGGAAGAGACGCCTCCCAGCCACGACGAAGGTCATTAAGACATTAAGATAACAGGGGTGCTACTTCGTCAGGCCGGCCGTCCGAGGTCTTCGCGTGGGACTTGTGCTTGCGGCGTCGTTTCTTCTTTTTGTGCCCGTTCGGTTGTGCAGCGGGGGCAGATTGCTCGTCGTCAAGGTCGATGAGCTGGCCGTCCTGACGAACGGGGAACTTGGCCTGCTTCGGGGACGATCTGTCGTCATCGTCGGAGGTGTTGCTGCTGGTGGTGTGAAGGACGACTTTGCGGATTCCGTTGACGTCGACGATTTGCTCGGTGATGCTGCCGCTGCGGGCGGGTCCCTTGTGCAGGTAACCACTGCCTAGTCGGGACCGTTCCTCGGGCCGGTACCGCAGATCGGACGATGTGGTGCTGGTGGCGATGCTCGTCCTCGACGACGGTTTATCATCCTGCTCTTCGTGGACGGCTTCTGGGATAGATAGTTCGACGGCACTGTTCTCCGAGGCTCGGTTGGTCATGGTGCCGTAGCCTAGCTTGACAGCTTGAACACCATCTCGGGGGTCGATGCCAGATTGAAGGAGTCCAGCTCCTATGCCTCCGGCCAAGCCGGCAGATGTATTGTTCATGATCTGTGAGCCCGAGGTGCTCTGCCCGGAATCCATATCAGTGTGTCCCGATCGGCTGGGAGAGCCGCTTGCTCGCTTGATCTTCACGTTCTGGTACCGAGTTTGACGAGGGCGGCTGGCCAGGTTGGACGGCCCAAGGTGCTTCAGGTGTTCGCGTATCTCGTCAATGGGCCCTTTGTGAGTGAGGAAACCATCAGTCGAGTCGGAATTCTTGTCCGAGGTCTGGAGGCGCATATGAAAGCGAGGCGGAGGAGCTTCCACGGAGCTGCGACGCCGATCAACAGAGGGCATACGGGATTGGCCGTCGGTTTCGGACTCGAGAGAGAGCATGGGCGGCTCCTCGACAATGCGACCTTTCGGAACGCGAGACTTGGGAGCCGGAGCCATGCGCCTAATTGCCTTGTGTACATCAATGAAGACATCGGACTCGTCGATGATCTCCCTGCTCAGTGATCAGTGTCATTCGCCAGAGAAGGGACAGAGCAAAACACATACTCGCCAATTAGCTCCTCAATCACGTCCTCCAAGGTGACAACTCCTAATGCACCACGATCCTCGCCAGGGTATTCCGAGACGAGAACCATATGAGACTTGCCCTCCTGGAAGAAGTTGACAATGTCCAGACAGCTGGTCTCGGGGCGAGTCTCGGGAAGCGTTGCCAAAGCGAAATCTCGCACGCGCTTGCAATCCTCGGGATCGTAGGTGATCAACATCTTGACCAAGAGCATACCCACAAAGTTCATATGGTTATCGGGGGCATGGATGGGAATGCGGGAGTATCCCTGGGACAGAATGAGATCCATAGTCGCCTCGTCCAAGACGGTATCTGCGGACATGGTGAAGACATCTTCCATGGGCGTCATGATGCTCCCGACGGACTTCTCTTTCAGGTCAAGCACAGCGCTGATGATGGTGACTTCATCCGAGTTGAGCTGTTCTCCCGCCTCGCCCAGAGTCTTGTGCAATGTCACTAAAGTCTTCAGACCAGCCTTCTTGTAGATTGTTCCATGATCTTCACCCAGTAGTCTGTCCAGCAGCTTGGCCACGGGCCAAGCGACAGGAGACATGACGTACATGAGCACCAGGACGCAGGGAGCCATCCAGGCCCCGATCGGGAGACCGTATCGGACGCATATCGATTGAGGAACGATTTCACCAAAGATCACTGGGACATCATTAACACGACGCCAGTTGGAGGGTTACCAACAAAAGACGGGAGAAATATTTACCGATGAGTACAGTACTGCCCAAAATAGCAGGCCAGCCTCCTCCGAGCGACCGATCGAGGACGATGGGGAGAGTCTCGTTGGTGATGACGTTACTGAGCAGCAAAGTCACCAGAACCCAATGTTTTCCTTTCTTGAGGAGTCGAAGCACACTAGCGGCATTTCTTCGTTCGGATTTATCGCCTGACGATTTGATGACTTGCAGATAGACCTCATCCTATCGGATTGACGTGGAGGGTTAGATTAGCTCAAGCGACCGACACTTCCAGGCCCCGATCGGGAGAGATAACGAGAAGACATTACCTGGCCCATCAAAGCAATGGTCAACCCAGCAAAGGCACCACCGCTCAGCACGAGCGCAGTGGCCACACCGAGGTAGAGCCATAATTGCGGGTCACTGGGTGGTTTGGGGTCGAATTCATGGCCGCCCAAGGCTTGGTAGTGATTGCGAGAGACGACTGTAGGAGCGGCGGAGATGAGGGGTATTTGCGCGGAAGCCAGAAGAAACAATTTCGCTAAACCGAGGACAACGGGCCTGAAGGCCATGTAGCGGTTGGCCGAAGGTATAGCCATCAGCAGTTGATGGGGGAGTTAGAAAAAGAGAAGTGAGTAGTAGCGCGGGCTACTTTAGAGACATATTTATGGCGAGAAAAGATGAATCTACGGGAGTTAGCAGTGTCTCTTCTCTTTCTAGCCTAGTTGGGGGACCTAAAAAGTTTCCGGGCCAAGCGGTGGACTACAGTGGATGTCCCGATGACGTGCGGCCCTCTCGGCTGGTGGAGCTCACAGCAGCAGCACGTCCTCATTCCTCAAGCTTTGGAGGATCTATTTTCCGTATCAGATCAACTGAAACAATGCTATCTATCTGTGCCAGGTGGTGTGGGTGCACCACACCATAACTTCCAACCACAGCATAATTTCCAAGTACCTTTTGTATAGGATCACCATATAAAAGGTACATATAGATTATTTAACCTAGGTATATACATATTTAGTTTTTATAAATTATTATTATTTAGATGTATAAATGTCTATCTTTTATTACTATCTTTATTATTAGAAAGGAAAATTATAAGTGTTAAGATAAAATAATATCTCTTTATTTTTTATCCTAAGAAAGAGTTTTCTTAGAGGGAAATTTTACACACTCTTATATCTCTAATTTTTAGTACATATTTTAAGAGGGAATATCTTATAATTAAAGGCCTTTTAGGAGATTTATACTATCTAAAATATAGTCATCCCTAGTGAATGAACCATGTGAAAATTGATGAAAATCATTGTCCATGGTTGTTGACACGCCAGCTAAGGTCGTCCATCTAGTTGATGCACTAGCCGGTTTACCAGTCATGCCTCCATCTTTGTATGTCAACCTTGAAGGTGTGAATCTCTGCCGCCACGGCAGTATATCAATCATCCAAATATATGTCCTCCCAAACGATCACACCTATCTTGTGGATGTGCATAGCCTTGGAGAGGCGGCCTTCTCCATGAGATCCCATGGCAAGAGGACACTTAGAGAAATCATGGAATCAAGTACGGTTCCAAAAGTTTTCTTTGATGTGCGGAATGACTCGGACGCGCTATATAGCCACTTTGGGGTTGGCCTCAATGGAGTCCATGATCTTCAGTTAATGGAGTTTGCCACCCGCCGCCCCCCAAGGGGGTATGTGAGCAGTCTGCAAAAGTGCATCCAGAGGGAAGTCCAAATGACCGCTGCAGAGCTGCACACTTGGAAGGCGACCAAGGAGAAGGGCTTAGATCTATTTGATCCAGGGCGTGGAGGTAGTTATGAAGTATTCAACATTCGACCTCTTTCAGACGATATTTTGAAATATTGTATCCAGGACGTCAGGTTTCTCCCGAAGCTCTGGGAAGCTTACTACCCGAAGCTGATGCCGATCTGGGCGAAGAGAGTTGAGCTTGCCGTAAAAGACAGGATCATGTTGTCACAATCAGCGGCATATCTACCAAAAGGTGAACGTAAGGCACGCGCCCCTCGTGAATGGGAGCGCTACATTTGAGAATACCATGTACGTATGAGACGTCCTGGGCCAGCGGTCTGACGCTATTTGTTTGTCTCATAATATCCGAACTAAAGTCCACTCGGCTTTCGCCTTTGAAGCGCCAACTGAAAATGTGCTCAGGTTCGGTTTACATATTGCGATGCGGTCGGCGGAGAAGACAGAAGCAACTTGGACAATTCTCAGACTGTTTCTCACCACATTAGCAAAAACGTAAATAAATGGGAAAGAAATGATATATCATCAAGTAACACGTTGCTCGTGTCCCAACCTTTCGGCTAGTGCACCATAACTAAGAAGTCAGTGGCTCTTCTTTTGCCATTTCGCGTCAATGAGCATGATATGATGTGATCAATTCCATTTTAATTGAGCAGCAGGGGTGATGTAGTATTAACACAGTTTAGCAAGACCATGGTGACAGGTCCTTTTACGCGGTGTCAATGTATACACAGGTCTTGGTGCATCAAACACCCAGAGCAAGTTTACGCTAGTCTGCAATTAGGGAAGTCACCGGAACAACCATGTTCCTGCAATGGCCAACGGCCAACTTACGACGGACGGCCCGACGATTCAACAGCTCTCGATCGCAACTCGTTCTATCATACATCATTGTCAAGACTTGCCTTCCACGATGGCCTTCCACAGACGCCAACAATCTCTGGAAATGGTGCTGGATTTCACTCCAGCTTTTAAATTACCAATGAACCAATACAATATGGCCAGTGTTATCTTTCAACAACTAATCGATCATTACGGACTCGAATCATCACTTGCCCAGAGACGTTACAAACCTGCGAAACTAATTCAAGCGCTGTTTGATAATATGGCTGCCAAGCACTCCTTCTTAAGATTTTTCTTTACCTTCCTACATGAGTACTCAGGCCAGGAAGCGGATGTTGGTCCCGATCTTGGCCGTTCATTATCATACTTCCATGATTTTCTGGATTGGAGCCCTGATAGGAAGCGCGATCTGAACGAAACTATCGAAGCGTTTGCTACGTATATTGTGGACGACTTCCTTGTTCCCCGTAAGTGTGGTTGCATTCGTTATATGTTCCGCGAAAACTCCCATTACTCAAGAGTTTCAGTTAGAGCTTCCTCGGCCAAGACACCGCAACCTACACCAAGTTCGCTGTCTTCGATTCAAGCATCCACTCCCACCGGCACATTGGGCCGCGTGTCTGGTCTGCGCAAGACTTGTCTGAAACGTGATCAGCATCGATGTGTAATATCCAATAGTTTCGACCTCAAGGAAGCCGACAAGCGGTATGAGCAGGACGGGGATAATTATCGGGATGACGCTGGAAACTTCCTGGGAGATGAACCCAGCGAGAATTTCGCGTTTTTGGAAGTTGCCCATATTCTCCCTCACTGTCTGACAACAGTCTCTACGGGAGATGCCGAGCTGGTATGCCTCGCGAAGAATGCTGGTTATACCTCCCTAACATATCTGTAGAGCGACTCGAAGAAGATCGTTCTACAAATCTTAGATATGTTTGACCCTGGCATAATTCATCTCATTGATGGCCCAGCAATGGATAGCCCTCGGAACGCCCTTACCCTAACAAATCATTATCATCAATTATTCGGCCAATTTCAGATACACTTCGAAGCAACAGGCAGACGAGACGAGTATAAGATTGACTTAACACGACGAAGACCCCATTTGCGGCAAGGAAACTTTCCTATCATACGCAACCTCTCTCAAAGTCCTGATGGGACGATCGATCTACCGTCTCCCAGGCTCCTCGCGGTCCACCGCTCGATTGCTTGTATTATGCACATCAGCGGGGCCGGGGAGTATATAAATGGTATCCTTCGAGACCTAGAGGAAGTGGATGTGAAAGCAGACGGGTCCACAGAACTGGAGCTCTTGATGAATCTGAGTCTGGGCGGCTGGCTTAATACGATGACTGTACATTAGATGTAGGCATTTTTTCCTTCCAACTTCACGCCTACCTCCGACGTCATAAATTGGTATCCGTGGATTATATCAAAGATGGGGCGCATAACAACCAGGTATAAGCGTCTCCCCTTTAGGGACTGTACTCTCTTTTACTGTCTGATCTACTGGTTTCCGCGCTCAGTTTCTGAACAACTCGTGGCATTGGTGTCCTCAATCTCCTCGAGCGATGCTGCTGCAGTTTCAATGCCTTGGGTCGATCTGGATTGTCATAGCCAATCTACCGCAAGAAATGCAAGTCGTGGAAAAGCTGAACATAATGTAACGCAACGGGAATAGAAGTCGTAGGATTGAGTCAGGTAAACCCCAAAGGAAGTTCGATGAGACTCAGGGCAGAAAGGCAAGTGATCTATGGCAATCCAAGGCAAATGCGAATGCTGATTCATGGAGCTGTATATGAGTTGCCTCATGAGAGGTCGTCTCAGCTTTCCATACCCATTCCGACTTGACAGATGTATTATCCAGTGGCTGGAGTGTACTGGGAGTGGTTGCTGACTTGCTGAAGACATCGATCTTGTCGCATGTACCACTGTTTCAAGAGTGTTAGTCTCTACCTATCCTCTTGCAGGTATCTGGGAAAAGTAGTGTGGGCCGAGTCTCAGCAATAGTTATGAGTAGGTAATATCAAGACATCCATGACTGCTTCCACCTTGAAGCCCTGATCTCCTCATATAAAGAGAATCAACTTCTCTGAACCGGTAATCTCCATTATCAAAGTGAATGATCTTGAGTGGTATCGCCATGACCTACTGTAGTGACATAGCATGAAGCTCTCACCACCGAGGCCAGATGCTGCCAGCACCTCAAGATGATGCCAGTGCCTTCTCTGGACTCCAATATTCACTCATCGTGGCCTGTATCTCCTCCAAGCTGACGCAAGTTCCGGATCCCATCCCCCAACAGACGTGTGATATTCACTCTGTGCCCGTTTCCGGCCCGGTCTGCTGCTGGCTTCCCAGCTTCACCTCCCCAACGCCTTCCTTGACATGAGAACATTCACTCGAACTCGCTTACCTGGTGCTGGAGCAGGTTTTGGTGATTCTTGCCACTCATTTTGTTGTGTTTCCCCTGCCTCCTGCTCAATATTTCTTTCTCTTCTTCTGCTCTCTCTCTCCATCTTCTCTCCTCCTTCTCTGCGAAAGCATTCCTTATTACCATCTTTCAATTCAAAAGCGATCATCAAGCAAGTATCAACTCTTCAAACAATATCTTCATCTCAAAGCATCTCATCAGAGTACCAAAGATCAATAGACCTCATCAAGAAGCCACCAGGTGCTTCTCTTCTCTCGACAACATTCCCAAAGACAAGTACCTCGTGTTGTCGAATTCTTTTTCCCTCCACCACCTCCCAAGCACCATGACTTCTCACGTTGAGATGTACTTCCTGTACGGAGAAGCCTACGACGAAACAGCCCCAGTCACAAGGGCAGAGGCCTGGCTCCGTCAGTTCGCTTACGCGGACTTGACGACCGGTGCCGCGCTTTCCTTTGCGCTCGTCACTCTCCTGGGGGTCATGGCTTTGTTTTGGGAGGATCTCGCTCCCTGGATCTCGGCCGTCGCGAAGAGACTCGTCTCACCGATCCTTGCCGTGGTTGCCGCAGCCGGTTCGCTCGTTGTGCAGCTGGTTAGCGTTCGCTCTCGTCAGGAGCTCGGCACCATCGTGCAGGATTGGGTCAAGCAGCCGATTGTCGACTGTCGCCTCGTCCGACTCGTCTCCGCCGTTGTCAGCTGGTGGTTTCCCTCCAATCAACCCCTGACAACAGTTTGCCGGCTAGCCGGTTCATTTGTCTGCGGTATGACCGCGTACGTGTGGCTCTTCTTCCCTCTTTGGCAGTTCCTGTCTGGCTTTGCCGACGGTCTGCTGGCTGAGACGAAGGAGTTGTCCCTGTACTGCATGGGCATCCACGGACGGTGGACCATCGCTAGTCGGCTTACCTGGCGTCAGTGGGGGAGGGTCGCCTTCTGCAACGGTGAGGAGACCGGACTCGAGCTGCGCGCGATAATCGAGGACGATTGGCAATTGCCACGTCTCTTCGACCTCGACGGCGAGATCCACCACCTCCGAATCCTTGCTTTCGTGGTTGCCAGTGTCTCGCTCGCCATCACGGCGGCGTGGTCGTTCCGCGCTCTCTCCGAGACCGCCTTGTTCCCGCGTGTCGTCGTCGTTTTCCAGAAGCCCTCGTCTCCGGGCCAGAGAGCAGACCACGTCGCCAGCAGCGAGACACAGCTTCCTGGGTCGTCAATCAACAAGCGGCAGGATGACTTGATGAACCTGATCAGCAGGTACGAAGGCATCCTTTCCGAGAAGGAACGTCTCCTGTCCGCCACGACCCAGAAGCTTAGGGCGACCGAGCAACGGATGGAGGATGGCTGGGCTCAAGTCAAGCGGCTGACTGCCCTCCAAGTCAAACGCGCAGAGGAAACTCGCGCCCGTGAGTCGACCGACGTTGCCCAGTTGCGACGCAAGCTCGCGGAAACGGAGGCGCAGCTCAGCCTGGCCCGGGGTAGAGCGAGAGCGGTGGAGGATGATGCCACTGCGAGAGTGCGGTCCCTCTGCAACCAAGTGGCCGAGCTGGAACAGCAGCTGCAGGCCCAGAGGGAACAGGCGGGGCACATTTCCCTGGGCGAAGTCGATTCGCTCAGAGCCGAACTCCAGGTTCGGAATGACCAGCTCGTCGCCATCGAGCACCGCCTGGCCGCCGCAGAGGCCCGAGAGCGCGACTCTCGTGGCCGGGCAAACGATGCCGAAGCCGAACGTCGCCAACTCGCCGATCGCGTCCACGAGCTCGATGCTCAAGCCCAGGAACTCACTGCCCAGAACGAGGTGCTCCAGGCCTTGTGCGACACCCTGTCGCAGGAGTGTGGTTCCCTGGCGGCAATCCAGCAGGAGCGCGATGACGCCTTCGGGCTGGCATCCGCCCTGCAGCACGAGCTTGTGTCGACAAGAGCGACGGCGGAGACCGCATTTAGGGAATCCCAGGAGTCCCTCGCTCAGACTCGCGCAGCCGAATCAAACCTCCGACAATCCATGCAGGAA